GTGAGAACCATGATCCCAGTGGGTGCTCCATCACTGGAGGTTTGGAGGAAGAGACTGGACAACCAGCTGTCTGAAATGGTTTAGGGTCCCCTGCTTGGGCGGGGGGGGGTTGGACTAGAAGACCTTGAAGGCCCCTTCCAGCTCTATTCTAATTGATTGATCGAACCCTCTTCAGCCAGAAAGCGGGAGAAGGCTAACTCGGGCTGAAAAAAACACTGACCACACGCTAAGGGTCCCGTCCGCAAGGGGTCCCATCCATACCCAGGGCACCCACTTGCCTAGTTTCAGGATGGCTGGGTTGCCCAGGAGGCTCTGGAAGAAGCCGCAGAGAGAGGCCTGCACCTCCTGTTCCCCCTGCTGGAGCAGCCGGAACATGTCCAAGAGGAAGACGCGGCCCCAAATCGCCAGCTGGACCACCGAGACCCTCGGCTTCGCTTCGATGGTGCTGAACGAGGGCCGCCACTCCATGTCGATGCCGACGGCCTGGCCGGGCTGTGGACGGAAGGACAGCGGGTGGGTTATCTCACGGTCCCTGAGGAGGAGGAGGAGGAGGAGCTGCAGCCGGACTCCCCTTGGTGGGGCAGGTGGAAGGAAGGACCCCACAGAGCTTTTGGACAGCATGGCTGGCATGAAGATTCTTCAGGCAGAAGTCAGCCCTTCCCAGATGTTGGGGAGAGAGGGGTTGGTCTCCCCGCTTGGGCACCCATGGCCACCAGCCCCCATTAAAGTGACTCAGGGGGTCTTTTTAAGCCAGAGGAGGGAAGGAAGTCCTCACCTGGAGCACCTGTTCCTGGCACGCCATCACCTCTTCCCAGGTTGATAAGAAAAGGACGTCTGCCCTTGGCACGGGGAGCTGATAGCAGCCCTCCTTCAGGCTGTCCCAGGCGCTCGGGGCCTGCTGGGAGGCATCGTCCCTGCGGGGGGGGGGGGGGAGGGAGGGTGCAGGAGGGGGGCGGGTCTTCTTTTAAAAAAAAATAAAAGCAGAAGGAAGGCATTCCCTACGCTCGTAAACAAGTCCCAGAGCCAAAACAGCGGGAGGAGGAATTGTACGCAGGCGGCCCAGGAGGGACGCGACCCTGGCAGGTGGCGGCACCAAAGGTTGCTTTCCCTTCGGTCTAAGGACCGGGTGGAACAGGCCGAGAAGCCATCCCTGGCAATGGCCGCTCTTCTGAAACAAAAGCCCTGCTAGCCGAACACGAACTGGGGAAGCATCCCGACGCGGTGCCCTCCCCACCTGAAGACGGGAGGCTCTTCACCATTTGGACCCCTTTCCCTGCGGGAGGAGCGCCTTGGG